CAGCCATCAGAGCCCACTGACTTGGCACTACTTTCATACTTTAAAGGATACTTGGTTCTAGCCAGGAGTCTTCAGTTTAGCTTCTTTACCTTGCCTGGTGTTCATGGCTTAGTCTGTCTTTTTTTGTTTCCTTACTACTTTGGTTTTAGCTCTATCATTTGTAACAGCTCTTAGCAATGATCTTGCTTTCTAATGAGCCAGAAAATCAACTAAGTATGTGTTTTATTTTATCCAAGAATTAATTGTATTCAGCAGGATTATTGAACATTTTAGCCAACCATACTGCCAGAAGCAGAAACCATCTATTTATTTTTTTAGCCAATTTTGGAAATTTGTAGTTTTCATGAGTTACTGTAATGTTTTTAATGTATTGATATTGTTTGTTTAGCCTTATTTTTTACATCTTTGCTGTATTTATGTCTTTATTCATATTTTCATTCATAATATGTCTCTTACTTTTCTTCCTAATTAGCTTTACCAAATTATGTACCTTTATTTAAAATAAGCCAACTTTTGTTTAAATTGATCCTCTCTACTGTAGCATTGTTTTATATTCTGGAGTCATAAACATTTTCTGTAAAGGGCCATAAACTTTTGAGATGAAAACTGCAGCAAACAAAATGAAAACATTCAACTGATGGCTTCGATAGCAGAATAGAAGGTAACAAACCCACACACGAAATCAGTCAAACTGAAGATTAAAAACAATAGGAATTACCCAATCTAAATAACAGACAGAAAATAAGCAGAACAAAGACAGCCAAAAACTTACCAGATATATTTCAGCAGGTGAAGTCAGTTTGTGGTACAACCACACCATGTAACAGTACTCAAACCAAAAAGGAAATACTGATGGATTTAATACAACTGGGATGAGTTGCCAAAGAGTTATGTGAATGACAAAGTCAAGCCCAAAGGCTACCTACAATTATGATTCCAATTATACAATATTGCTGAAATGAAAATAAAGTAAAAACCTAGACGAGATGATGGTTGCCAAAGATTAAGGAAGGAGTGGGGGGAGGAATGAAGTTGATATGAGTATAAAAGGCAATGTGAGGGATCTCTGCACTGGAAAATATTCTGTATGGAACTGTTCTCCACTGGATACATCAATGTCAATACCCTGGTTGTATGACAGTGTACTATAGTTTTCCAAAATATTCATTTTGGAGGAAAGTGGGTGAAAAAGTATAGAAGAGAGATCTCTGTATTATTTGTTACAACTGTATGTAAACCTACTTACTCAAATTAAAAATGTTAGCATTAAACACATTTTACACATTAGAGAAAAATGAATTGTATTTCAAATGTCAGTGCCCTTTCAAAGTATAGTATTGGTGATTTCCAAGACGGAACTAATATAAACAATATGACAAAAGTTATCTTAATAATTTTTGTATATGTTCCATTGCAAAATATGAAGTAACTATTAAAACCATAGTAACCTATAGGGAGGTTAAAACATTAAATTTGCCACTGGAAAGAGGTCAGATGTGGTTAGGCATACTGAAAACACCTTGAAATGAACGCAAAGGACCACAGCACCTAGGTTTGGAAAAAAATGCAATAAAATGTAATATATTCTCCAATAAAATTTGGCTTTGTGTTTTCAGAATCATTTGTAACAGAAAGATCAGTTTTGATCTGACAGCTTTTCACCAGCAAATCTTTAGTGATAGAAATTTAAAAATCAAGATTGCATCTTACTCAAGTTAAACTAATCTCTAATTTCTGGAAAATTACTTTTCTTTTTTCTTGTCTGGGTTATGTATTTCAGAACTACCATTAAACTGGTCGTATGAAATTTCCAGTATTAAAAAGTGAAACTAGATATCAGTAAGTCTTAGTTGAAGATAATTTCTATTTACTCATCAATGCTAATAGGTTTTGGAGTTAGCAACTACTATCTAACAGTACTTACAGTAAACACTTACAAATTTGTACTTTGGGTTGGCCAAAGTGAGGATTATTGCCCTTTCAAGTTTATTTAAAGACTGAGTGCAGTTCTAGAAGACTCCCTCCAAAACAAGCAGAGGTGTTATGCACGTAACGACTGCACAGGAAATCTGGTTTTGCCATCCACCACTTATATTTTAGGTGAAATGCCATCATTACACAAAACCTACAGGAATCCCTCTCAGAGTAATTATGTGACCAACCTCTTAAAAACCTGCCAGAAGAAAGAGTGTCTATAAAAACCTATTTAGTGTGACAGTTATTTAGTTCTATTTCTGTATTTAAATTCAGATTACTGGGAGAAAAATAAAATATTATTACTTTTCATGTTCACCAAATGAATCCAAAACAAACGTTTAAAATTGGCATGTTGATGCAGAATTTGAATTGTGAGAAATTAGCATAAGCCATCAAGTAGGCTTTCTTCTATAGCGCTTTTTCACTAAAAATATTTGCCAAGAAATAGGGCAAGGGTAAACTTAAAACATTTTAGGGTATATTTGAAAAGTGCTCTTAATGTGTTGGGTTCATTCTGATGAAATAGTAAAGTCAAACTCTTCTTTGCTCTTTCCCTTCCTTCTAACGGTCGGCCCTCTCTTGGGGGCCCAAGACACTCCAGCTCTGAACCCAACTACTGCCACCAGAACTGTTCCTTCTGGAGACTAACTATACACAGACCGTCACACAATTAGTTGGTTCTGTTTAGAAAACCATTGAACTCTACTTGAGACAAGAAAATAAAATTTAATTACTTAAGGGAAAATGGATAAACAAAAGCCTGGTCCTTAAAAGTATATGGTGCCAGGGCTGGGGATTTAGCTCAGTGGTTCTGGTGCCTGCCTCACAAGTGCAAGGTCCCGAGTTCAATCCCCGGTACCAAAAAAGAAAAAGAAAAGTATATGGTGCCGATTGCAAGTTTTCCCAAGGGTGATAAATTCATCTTCATACATTCTTATTTGTATCTTCTTTCCCACCCACCATTTTCTTTCTTTTTATAAAGCCAAGTGCCAAAATATAAGCTCCTTGAGGTTAAGGACTACATTCTTTGGGTTCGCTGTTTTGTGGTTTTGCAGTAATGGAGATTGAACTTGGAGTCTTTGTACTGAGTTACATTCCTAGTCTTTTTTTTTCAGTTTTTATTTGGACACTTGTTAAGTTGTCCAGATAAGACTGGAACTTGTGGTCCTTCTGCCTCAGCCTCCAAGCGCTGAGATTATAGGCATGTGCCACCATACTTGGCTGGTTAACTCTTAAACTCCATGTCCATGTGTGGAGCAGCCATGAAAAAACTAGCCCAAAATAAGTGCCAAATCAAGCATTTTTTAAGCAACTACTATGAGAGGGAAAGAAGGGTGGGTGGGTGGGGGCTGGTGAAAATTGCTAGGTGCTGGGCCCTGAATCTTGATAAATATAGATCTTGTGGCTGAAAACTTGACTCACTCGCCAACAGAACTGTGCTTCAAAGTTGTTTTTTTAAATAAAAGGACCTCTTAATTGAAGAAAATTGTTTCATGTGGTTTGTCCTCTGTACACGAGTGCTTCATCATTGCACTAGTCTGTCACCTCAATATCACCACCCTCTTCTTTTGCAGTTCTTCTGCACTACCGGAAAAGCAGAAACTCCATTTTCTAAAATCTGCTTTGCTTTCCGTTTCTAAGTTAAAGTTGGCCAACGAGAGGCATTTCCATGAGATCTGGAAGGCTAAGGACGAGAGAGGCCCTCCTTCCTCAAGGCTGTTGCAGGTCAAGCAGTGCATATGGGCTTCATAGCGGCTTCCAAATTTCTTGCAAGTCACCTACTTTGGAGCTATTAGCGGCAGACAGCTGGTGACAGCTCCTTGAGAGTGCCACCTCAGTGCTGCAGGCAGAGCGTGCTTCTGGAACTCTGAACACTCAGCGGCTCCTGGGCCAGCGCCTGGCACTCTCTCACTTCTGCACGGCAGTGCCGCTCTCTCCCACATTTCTCACACAAGCGGCTTCTAATTCCCCAATTAAAACTTGTACATTTACAATTCATGGAGTGGTTCCTGTTTTCCTGATTGGAATGTAAAAATATTTAAGAGCCAGACATAGTAACAAATGTGTGTAACTCCAGCACTTGGGGAAGTTTAGGCAGAATTGCCCAGCCTGGGCAATTTAGTGACTTAGTGAGACCCTGCTTCTAACTAACTAAAGATACTCGGGGATGCCACTCAGGGCAAAGGCCCTGGGTTCAATCTCCAGTAGGGTAAAATAAATAAATAAAAAAAAGCACTGAGGGGGAAAACACATTTTCTACCTCTCTGGTTAAGATAGAGAATGAGATGCTACTTCATGGAGTCTACTGACTTTCGGAGAATACAACTGAAGGAAATTAACCCTGTGTGTTTAGCATTTAGGCAGTTTCCTTCCTATCTTCTTTGCCACCGTATTCTGAGGACACATATTCCTACATACGTGGGGAAAATGATCTTCAGTGACTGATGAGCTATATTAGGGGAGCTAAGCAGAGATACCACAAATGTTGTCGAACTGGGACACTGTCACGTGTCTGGGTTGCTGCTGCTGTCAATTCAGTAAGTGTATTTTCTCCCCAGGAGGATAAGCTGCTATGACGGGCAGAAGAGGACTGGAATTTACAGGTTAGCTTTTGTTTTTATTAACTGAAATTGTGAAAACATATAATACTTTTTTTATTCAGGAAAGGAAGATGCCTGATGTTCTTTACCAGTAATGAGGAATTTTCATTAAAATGAACTGAAATGTCGGTCACCTCCCACCTTCCCCAATCAACTTGCTTCATTCAACTTTGAAATTGTAGTTATATTGCAGCAATCTGCCCATGTAAGAAATACATTCAGTTTTGGTTTTCATGAAATAAATGCTGAATAAATCACCCTTGTACTTGTTCTTAGCTATTAAGGTGGACAATGATTATTTTCTTTACACAGGTTTTATTTTTATTATGACATTAATTTCTCCACATTAACAAATAAAAATTACACCAACTACAAAAACTACTGTGCCTATCCCCTGCTAAGCCACAGACCTTTTTCATGGAATAGGAAGCCTTCAAAGTCACTTTTATTTTCATTATAGATTTGTCTAAAAAGACTAGTGTTCAAACACAACATCTTGCACACAAGATTTTACCATTTTTAACAAAAGCAGTGAAGACACTGAATGGTCCAGTGGCAGGCTGCTCCAGGCACAGTGTTGCTGGTCCCCAGTGCAGACGGTGACACACACGCCGTGTTGGTGGGCCCAACTCCAGAGGCTGCGTCCATGGTCTGTCTGTGGCGAGGCTCCATCTGTGTCCGTACACATACTTATTTTATAGAGCATCCCAGGCCGAATGAAGAATGTCACCCTCTATCAAAATGGCACCAGTTATTTTTTTTACTGTCCATCAAGGTGCAAAGCTGAAACACTTTCAAAATATTTAATAACCAGCACAACAGCCAGATAATCTCACTTGTCCTAGCTAATCTTCATCTGTGTTGTTCAAGGACCTCTTTTGAGCATAATGAAGTAAACATGTGATGGGAAAGTTCTTCAATTTGAATCAAACAAATTCAGACACACTGTCCAGTCATGAAAAATCTACATTTTATCTCCCATAGTGAGAACTGCATGTTTCAAAGCAATTCTAAAAATGACCTAAAGGAAAACTTCAGTATTTAAAAAAATTTGGCTATTCTTTTTCATTCAAAACTATTCATTTTGTGTTCCAAATATTTTGTGTGCATTTTTGTCTCGAAATTAATGCTGCTCAAAAGAATGCAAACCATTAAAGTTCCTCTTTAAGTCATCAATTGGTATCCCAGTTAATTTATAAATGTTTGTATTTCCAATAAAGGCACTTAAATGCCAAAGGTATTCTTTCCAGTGCTTTTGTTGTTAGCGGGAATTCACTGTGAAATAAACAGAACTAAATGCACTCGGCCTGTATGAGACTAAACATTTTATGAAGTAGAGCTGTGGGGGAAAAACTGAACTGATTTGTGGATACCACTGGTACCTGGTATGAAGCCAGAAGATGCCAGCAAGTTGCATTAAAAACTCACAAGGAAAGACTATGTCTGAGCAGGCCTGCTGGGCCAGGCGGTATTTGTATGAATTCTCTGCGCACTGCCCCTTCTGTTTTCTACAGCTGCCTTGCTCTGGCAACACAGTTTCGACTCACAAAAAATGTTTTTTAATGTCCATTTTGGAAAAAAAAAAGTTTTGTTGGCAAACAAAGCAGTTTCTACTTGTTAATGACAAAACTGTTAAAGATTCCCAAAATAAAGACTTTGAGCAGCCTGGTGATTCAAATGGATGCACAATGTACAACCATAGTGCACACAGCGACATTTAGCTCAGCACTGAAAAGGTGAAGTGAGCACTGGTGCCAGGACCCCCTCGTTCTCAGGAAACAGACCTATCCAGACACCTTTTAAAGCTTCTTTACTTTGGGTGCAAGGATACAATTTATTTACTTAATATTTCATTTGTTCCCATTTGAAGTCTCAGAGCTTCAACCATGCCTTCACTACCAAACTGCTGTATAAGAACATTATAAAATACAAACTACAAACTAAGATAATTCCCTTTACAGTATTCAGATTAGTGCATTAAAACAACTGTGATTTAAAAAGGCAAGTGAGTTAATTGGCAAACATCCAGTTTCTTTTCTAATGAAGGATGGTACAGAATGGCATCAAATGTAAACAATACATTTTAAGTATTAGGTGCTCAAAAACAATAATTGTGGGAAAGTTACTTCCTAAAAGTAAATCTGACCAAAGATACATACGTAGTCATTATTTTTTAAGCATAAGGGAAAGTCAATAATGGCCCACAAAACCAGATGGTACTGTTAAGATAGTTCAGTGGAATAGCAAGTTGGACTCTAGAATCCAAACAGAATAGAAATCAGTATGGAGTTTTTATATTCTTCCTCCAAATTACATTAAAACATTTATAGTATCTACACTTCTCCTAGTAAATATCAGACTTCAATGGCCCATACATAAGAACAATCTAGCCTTACTATTTTTACTCGGCAATCGACTACAAATGCTTAATATATACACATCAGAAGCACATGATATGCCCAGAAATTATTCATTGATTTTATTCAGAGAAAACAAGGGTCTTAAAAGAAATGCAACAATAAAAATGAAACAGATAATTTGTGCTACTGTGAGCTGAAAAATAAATACAGACAGATATGCTAATTTTTTAAATTACTGAAAATATTTTTTCTGCTGGCCCTAATCAAAATTAGATTTTAACTGACATAACATAAATCTGGTGCACGTTATACGGTGACAGAGAGATGTGCACAGAACAAGCATATCTTTAAGTTTACTAATTTCCAAAGTCAAACAAGTAAATAAATTCTAGATGAAAGGCATGTGCAATGTGGGCAGAAACCCTACAGTTATTAAATTAAAAAGCTTGACAGTTATGTTAGCAATGATACTTAGAAAAACTTTCAGTATTAGAAAATACCAAATTTAATCCAAAGGAACCCCAGATAATAATAACAACATGATTACAGGCATCTTTCTACATAACCTAGACAACGGAGTGCAGCGGTGTGGTCCTCTGTAACTTTAGCCTTTTAGTCCCCATATGATGAGAACGACAATCACAACAGCAATGACAAGGACAAAAATGATGATGCAGAGGGTTTTCCTGGATTTGCGCTGCAGATGCAGAAACAAAACACATGTTTACAGATTTAGTGAGGTGTCTCCATAGCAAATGAACAGAATCTGGTTCATCTCAAGAGCAAAATCAGTAATAGTTTATTGCCCTCAAATTTTTGGCTGTACTTATTGCTTCTCAAAAATCTCTACCACATATGGGGTACTATTCTTTCAAAAAATATTCTTGAAGTAATGCTGTAATTCAGTGGCCAATTTTAAAATATCGTTGGTAAGTTTTCTGGGGGTGTAGTTATGCTTCAGAGAAAAGACAAAGAAAAATAAACTTTATTGACTTAACAGACCGAGGTTACCTATGAGTGAAAAAAAGAACAGCTAAAAAGTTGATATATTTTTAAACATTTATCCAAAAGTTGCTCTTAAAAATGAGTCCTTTTAAAGGATCAGCAAGTAAAAATATTTGGCATCATTTACTGAAGTAAAATAGTTTAAAAATCATTCCTATTTTCTGGAAGCTGTTCAAGAATATCAACATACAATAAAAAACCAAAGAGTTAACAAATTTATAAAGCTATCATTCAAAACATAAAGGTTGCGTTTTGTTCCATTCTTCATTTCTTTAGTGGCTTGTGTATCTCACACCAACATGCAGGAATCCTTTTTCTTACAAAATAGAAAAATGTGTGAATTTACTTTGTGTCAAAAAGAAGTACTATACATTTTACAAAAAGATAGATGTATGACTCTGAAATTACCCTGAAAAATATGAATACTTTTAGTATTCCACATATTAATATTAATTTTAATTAATATTTAGTTAATATTGATTTTAATTAATATTTAGTTAATATTAATTTTAATTTTTCAAGTGGAAATTCCTCAAGTATTAAACACAATTTTGGGGGTTCAATATCAGCATGCACACATATTTCTCCCACAATCCACATGATTGCCAGAGAATGATGTATCATCCCTTTCTCAGGCACCGTGGGCACCCCACCATGATGTATCTGTAGCTCAGGGAGCACTTTCCCTAGGGTGAGGTAATGAAGTCTTTGGGTGCTACAGTAATAGCAGTATTGTTTTAATCACCTTTATTTGTACTCTCAATTCATCAAACTATTCAGAAACATCATGATTTTCAGGGCATAAATTTAATAGCAATCTTTCAAGTAGAATCACTTGGAAGGGTGCTTCCTTTCTTAGCACTTGTGTGGCCTTGTACTCATCTCTCAGGGCCTGTAGAAGTAAGTCTGGAGGCAGCTCCAGACCTACTTGGGAAGGTAGGTACCTTTTCCCCAGGGACAAGCCTAAAGGCTTGTCCTTCCACAAGGAAGAAGAAAAATCCAAAAGCAAAACAAAAAACCTGTAAACCCAATCACTGGTGAATCCTCTTACACACTAAGTTTTAGCAATTATATGCTAACAGTCCATACGTCTCTTGGCATTTATAGATTATCATGTATGTGCACAAATACATTGTGTGTGTTTTCAGCTATTCATGAGAGACATCTACAGTCCACGACATGGCAATAAAAATCCTGCTAAGCTGCATCTCTGACTTATATGCATGAAGCTGGGAAACGGGAGTCATTCTGTCAGTGAACATGTACCACTGAATATGCAGTGATGTGTCTGGTGAAAAAACAGCAGTGACATGAAAGGCAACCTCACGGGTTAACGAGAAAAGTGAAAAGCAACTGAAGATGTCAACTGCAGATGTTGACAGTATCTTAGCTTAGAAAAACGTAATGAGGTAGAGAAAACAATAATTATGAATGACAAGAAAAAAATTAAGCTTTAAAAGGAAAATCAAATGCTATGAGCCTGGTTTTATTCCAGTTGAACATCAAAGGTCTAAAATATTGTATGATACACGTTCATGTCCCTAATATCTGTATAGTGTTGGAAACACAACTTGTATTTGACATTATATAAGGACTCATTATTTCACACAAGTCACTTGAGAAACAGTCATTTCTGAAGAAGAGTCTGCAGAATGCTGACAGACTATCCATTAATGACACTCCAAGTTAATATCGTTTCCACAGGACCTGAAGAGATCTTTCTAGAACAAGGATCTCTGCCCCTTTAGTTAATAGTGGCATTGACAAAAGAAAGAAAAGATAAAAATGAAGGGTAAAAGATGGAGGGAAAAGGCTATCAAAGAGGATTCTGGGTTGGAATGTCACAAGGACATCCGGCCACCATCAGAAAAGCCTGGAATCGTCCACTGCAACCCTCAGGTCTCTTAACACTATCACACGCACTGACCTTCCAACCCGTGGGCCGCTAACTGCTTCATCCCAGAGAATTTCCCAGCTAAAATCACTTTTAAACTGGCTGCATATTTCTAACCTCTCCCTCTTCCATGAGACTGTAAAATTACCACCTGCAGCCACTTTAAACCTGACAATAGCCCAGCCAGTCTCACAACTCACACACACTGTAGGTTCAAACGCTTAAGTTTCAAGAAAACGTGTTACAGTTAACATTACCTGGTAATTTGCGGCCCTGGACAGCTGCTGATTTGCCTGCTGAACGTGGACTTCTGCACTTTCTACGTTGGCTTCTATGCTGTCTTTAAAATAAAACACAAACACACACACACACACACACACACACACAAACTGGTTAACACAGACTGATGCTCCAGGAACAAATGGCTAAATGTCATTCAAGATGGGACCACTGTGCTCACTATTCAAAGATTAATAATACTGCATCACAAAGGTGAATGTTTGAAGGTGGCTGTAATTCTTTATACTACTTCTCAGGAAATCCAAGCAACACAACTCAACTCCAGTTCTACCCCAAACAGTATCATCACCCTACAAATAGCAAATCGGGGTCAGCGCGAGAGCTTGTCTCCATCTCAACACAGTTTGTTTTAAATCAAGATCAGTGAGCATGAAGGGAGGTCAATCCCCTTCTTCCCATTACCCAGAATTCCCATCACATGACAACAAATGGTACCTTGAGATTCTTCAAAAAATATCATCCCTCTAGAGGGAAATAAAAAATGATCCAAATGCTAAAACTTGGATGGATATGTTTATAGCTAGTATTTCCCAATTTATTATTCCTTTGTCTTTGTAAACTCAATCTACTTTAAAACCATTAGAGTGTAATACCTATGTTCAACCAGTTTGCATTCTATGAAGGCCTAAGCCTCTGTTCAGTTCTAAGCATGTGATAACTTGGTAACTGTAGGGTAAAGGTGGAGACCGAAGACTGGCGCTTATTCTGCAGCCATCAGCAAGCCCCCTCGGTACTGAAGCCCAGGCCCCACCATGGACGCACACAGCTTCTCCGGTGGCTGCTTTCCTTGCCATTCTCCTCTAACCTGGAGGTGGGGTAGGGGTCACTCTGTAGCATGAAAGACTTGTGTCTCTTCCTCCTCCCTCCCAACTCTCAGTTTTAAAGTTCATTCTATCAAATTCATCCTCCCCTCCAGGTTGCAGACATTCCTGGATCTCACGGTTGGTCTTTAATTCCTTGAGTATCTTAGCTCCAACTCACTGATGCTATGGTCAGCACTTCTCCTGTGATACATACTGGATTCCATTATCCCCTGGCTGAACTTTCTCACACTCTGGTCTCTACTCCTCCATCACATTTTCTTCAGACTCTCCATTACCCCAGCCGCTCTTGTCTATGGTCACAACCCAATGCCTGCAGCTGCTCCCTGATCACACTTCCAAGAGTCTCACTCTCTGATCACCATCTGCTATCATCACAGCTCAGTCTTTCTAATACCTGGTCTCCAACGATGATCCTATCACATTTTTACTTTGCCTCGCACACTCTGATTCTCCCTTCCTTCTTTTCCTAGACTCTGTGGGCGATCATTTAACATCACTGTCTTGATGCATCTTCAGTTCCCTTGCCCCTGTAGTTACATTTACATGACAAAAATCCATGCAGCTGAACACAGACGTGAAAAGAATAATCTTATACTGACTTATTTCACTTCAACACCTGATTGCTAAGAGCAAGTCTACCTCATTTCCCTAAAGAATGCAAGATTGTCATACTCTCCTCCTTTCCCCTCCAACTTCTTATTCCTCCTGTTCAGTCAGAAACTTTGACTTTGAGCTCACTGAGACCACAGGAATAATCAGAAGACATTTCTCCCTCTCCCATGACCTGATCTACCAAGCATTGCAGGGTCTGAGTGTTCTGGCCTCTGTCCTGCTATTAGGAACTGCACACACACCTAGCAAGAGCCTACTCTCCATCTGCACACTTTATCCCATTCCTTATCGTGTAACTCAAGAACTTCAGTCTAGTTGTCATCTCCTCTCTCTCATCATCAAAACTTACTGGCTTATATCCTCTCTAAAACTTCTCCAGGTACAGATTTCCCCACCTAACAAAAACGACTTAATACACCAGGTCAAAACCTAGTGCCACTCTTGAATTAACTATTTCTCTCACACTCACACAAAGCCTGGCAGTAAATCTTTTGGCTCCACATTTTTTAAATATGCAGAATTCCATCACTTCTCACGACCTCTGGGCTTCCACTGTGATCCAAGCCAACACAACTGCTCATCTAGATTACCCTTTCCAGTGCTCTCCTTGATTTTGGTCTTGTTGCTTTACAGTGTGTCCTAAACCCAGCAGCCAAGGGAGTATTCAAAACCAATGCCAGTTCATAACACTCTGTTCAAATTCTACTGTGATTTCACATTTGTCAATAATAAAAGTTCTTGCAGTGACTCAGGCTCCTATATGATACCATCCCCTGTAACCTCGTACAGGACTACCACCTTCCTCATGCTTGTATCACTCAACGAAAGTGCCGGGTGTGCTTCTCCCACAAGGCCTTTATACTGCTGGTCCTCTACGTGGAACATCTTATCTTCTTTGCTTTTGTGCTTCTAGGAAGGTATCACCAAAATCCCACCTTGTCAGTAACACCTGGCCTTTACTCCATGTAAAGCAGTAATGTTCTCTACTCCCAGCAGTCCCTCTGGCCTTATTTTCCACATAGCACTTATTATTATTTACATACTTTTATTTTTTTAAAACTGTCTCTTTCCCCCAATTATAAGAGACACGAAAGCAGAGTCTTTCATCTGTTAATTAGAGTTGAATCCTCAATGTCTAGATTTTATGCCTGGACATACTTAGCACTCAATAAACATTTGCTGGACATGTGAATGAACTGGTTTTTCAAAAAACATCTTACTCTGTGATCTATGGGGGCTACATATGGGGGTGAAAATGAACAAGTAACAGTTATTTTAAACTAAAGATGCAAGGATTTCAATTTAATCAAATTCAGAATACATACTGAATGTATTTCAGACATATAAATGAACAACTATATCCTTCATATTTTAAAATGGTAAAAATAATCAAAATCTTGATCAATGCTGAGTTACATCTTAATTGAAGGACTATTATATTTAAACTTACAAGGACGTTTCATAACTTTTTTGTTTTTTTGTTGTGTTTCTTTTTGGTTTTTTTTGGTACTGGGGATCGAACTCGGGTCCTTGTGCTTGCGCAGCAGGCGGCGAAACCACTGAGCTAAATCCCCGGCCCCCATAACTCTTTTTTTAAAAAAACAATTCCTTAAAAGATTCCTAGCATCTCAATTAACCTACCAAAATTTTATTAGCATAAACAATCAGGTAAATGGCTACCTACTCCATAACCCAAAGGCGAGATAGTATGCTCAATTACAAATACCACAAGTTTCCTTAAAAAGCCTTCGTGGAGGGGAACAGGGGTTGAAGAGAGGGTAGGGGAATGGGCAAAAAGAATTAAGATATAACATGAACAGGTACAGATTCTCTATGATGAATGTTATCATTATATATATCTCAAATGTACCGATTTTTAAAAAAAACAAGTCCTTAGCATGATAAAAATTAAATTGGGAGAAGACTGAAAGTGAAGGCCTTAGAGATTCGCTGGAATGATGGTACTTTACGTCTTTCATAGCCTCGGCAGCAGTAGGTTGATTTGGGACTTCTGAAATGAACGAAGCTGGTTGTTTTAACCACTAACATTAAAAACAAGGTCTGTCTTAGATAACGCCAGTGAGGACTCTTTACTGCACAGACTATGGCTTTGATTCCAGAGGAACGCAGAGACAGAAAGGAAGCAGCTACTCTTGCTCAGGAAAACTACAGCAGGTAAACCACATGTAACTTCCTCCTGCCCCAAGAAATCTAATTTAGTGGACTTACCTATCACATCTCCTTGTTCATGAATCATCGTTCCTAAATGTTTAAATATTTCATTAATATCCATAATATCAGCCTAAGACAAAAAGACATGTATTATTATATATTATTAGAAATTTAGTCCCCACACAACAAAAGGGGAAAATTAAAAAAACCCCAACCCACGCCTGCCTGGCAAGTGCAAGGTCCTGAGTTCAATCCCCAGTAGGGCAAAAAAACCACAAAACCAAAAAACAAACAAAAAAACCCCAAACTGTCTCTCGTATGATGCATTTAGATTTAATATGCAAATTTTGGAACTATCAGGAAAAGAATTCACTATAAGCAATCCTGACTAAAGAGATTTTGAACAATAGCCATCAGTTCTCTAAAATAAGTATATGCTATTAAAAATACAGGTGAGGCAGGATGGAAATGATCAAGCAGTATAGAAGAGTCATGGATTTCTGATTTAAACAAATCCTTTTGGTCTCTCTGAGTGTGTCTGCTACAATCTACTAGTTTTGTTACCGAAAGAATATTTGCTTACAAGAGTATAAATATTCTAATGACTTATTTCTAGCAAAAATTCATATATTGATAATTTAAAATGGTAAAGCATAAGGTACAAATTTAAAGTTTCACATTATTAAATTTGAATTTGCAATGCATTAGTGAATTTATAATTTTCACTACTGGATAAAGAATTTATAACTTTACTGAGTAAGGAAGTTATAAATTTACTTTTCTTCAATATACAACTATTATTTTGTCCAATTAAAAAGTAACATTGAAACATTCTATTCATGTGGGTGGGACAATCTACATATTTGTCACAGGCCTTCATTTCCCCATCTGTAAAGTGGCCATGATAATGACAAAGTTAAGAAGTCACAGAGCTTCTATGACGGCTGAGGTAATTAATAAAGAATCTATCCCTCGGGGCCTGGCACTTGGAAGGCTCCCAGTGCACTGCAGGCATTGTTAGCTATTATTAGCCCACTTTCTAAGAGCAAGGCAGTTTCCACAAAAACTATGAGTTAACAAATCCTTTAGGTCTCTCTGATATTATAAACATACTAAAAAGAAATAAAATACCTTTAAAGCCATTTACAAAGTCTTACTCATGCAGGCATGATGTGCGTGTACTATATGACATGGGAAGCAACCCAGTCTCTGGACAGACACTGATCTCCAGACTGATATTTTCTAATACTAAAGCGACTTAACAGAATTACAAAAAAAAAAAAACAGCTCAGGCAGGGAAAACATATTCTTTTATCCTAACACAGACACTAAAGATATTATTATTGTTCCAATTTATACATTAGAAATGCCGATAAACTCATAGTTTTCTTTCTTTCCCATCATTATCCAAGCTTGCGAGCATAAATACACTAAGATAGCAGCAGCCCCATTCTACAGGAGAGGCTTACTTCAAGCTGCCTGATAGAAGACTCTCTCTCGTGAATAAGGCGGAGGTCATCTTCTGTAATCTCATCATCCTGCACTTGCACTTGAGACTGTGTTTGGCTAAAAAAGGAAAGAATATGAGAAAAAAGCTGATATTCAAAACAATGGGAATTAATCCATATTTAAGAAATTCTAAATAGGATATACTGTTCTTCAAACTTAAGAGAATTGCTCACTTTAAAAAATGTGAAGAATTCAAAATTTACTCATTTTTATTCTCATATTATTTTATCTTATATAGGTTTAAATTATTATTTATTGAAAATTATATTTGGCAAGTGAGTTTCTTCTTAGCTGACTTAACTCTCACAAGGAAATAATCCATATTAAAAATTAAGTCAATAAATATTTGGATAATTTATCTTATGTATCTTATAATAAAGTTAAACATTTTTCAAATTTATTACTTTTAAATTTATAAGTAATACAGAATATTTATGCTATGATATACTGAAAGCTTTATTTCTACTCCAGAAGCTATAATATCTAAAACTTGAAAAATTATTTTTGGCAAAGCGTAGTGGTGCATGCCTCTCAACACCAGCACTCAGGAGGCTGACAAGGAAGGATTGCAAGTTCAAGGCCAAAGCTGCTTCTATACGGAGTCCCAGGCCAGCCTGGACTACAAAGCAAGACACTTCTCAAAACCAAACAGAACAACAGCAAAATACTATCTTCTGATAGATGAAATATTTATATTTCTCACCTTTCCCAGGATACAAGATTCCTTTCCTTTGAGTTGTCCTCAGGAAAACCGCCCTGAATAATTTAGTAACAGGATGGTTTAAGAGAGAGCAAAGAAAGCAAGGATAAGTAAAAATAAACAACATTCACATTTTACCTTAAAATGATCTAAATTTATTTATTTATTTGGGATGTACACATATGTGTGTATCTATGTTGTATGTGTAGACAAGAAGAGAAACTCTTGTTCTAATTTTCTAGGCTAACTGCTTCAAGTAATAATAAAATTATAGGGCCGGGGATTTAGCTCAGTGGCACTGCGTCTGCCTCGTAAGCACAAGGTCCTGAGTTTGATTCCCAGTACCAAAAAATAATAATAATAATAAAATTATTTTCTGAGTCGACAAGGAATGAATTCATTAAGTATTGTCAAGGGCCAAATAATAAATATTTTTATTTGGTTAAAATGTAATGTAGTTGTGGAACTTCTACATTAAAGAGTAAGAAAAGAACTTATGATGGTTTCTGAGGGAATTTAACATTAGATTATGTCAAAATTCCACTTTCAATCATCCTCTTATTTTCTCCAGGCCCATATTCAATACTCCTATCATATACACCGTGTACTCTGCTCAGCCCCACCGCATCTCCTCCACATCCAGCAGGAGGCGCTGTGTGCCTACAGTGGAGCCCCTTGGCGCCCACTCACTGTGAAAAACCAAGGTGATTTCACTGAGTTTTTGACAGGTTTCTATATTATACCTGTTGGTTCATGACATAGGCAAAATAACAATATATAAACCATTATCCATCTTAAAAATTGAGCAGAAAAGCCTGAAAATAAACATTCAAATACAGATTTCCGAAATATTCACATATCTATGGTTTAAAAAATCACGAGAGTAGATTTCTCTGGGACTCTGAGAGACTCTCAAGTTTGCTTTTACAGTGCTGTTGAAAGTACTTACAGACACTCTGGAACTGGCTCTTACTCGAGCAACAAATTCTTTCTCTCTCTCAGCAGCTTGCCTCTGGACCTTCTGAAAGTTCGTCAGTGCTGTTGTGAATTCGGCCACTAAGCGATCCTTCTGTATTTTCCTTTGTCGCTAGAGGAAAGCGGGGAGGAGTCTACTAGAATCAAGCTGGCTGGCTCTTTAATTCTAAAACTTTTACTAAATCCCCAATGTATTGATTCACTCTCAGTAACATTCTATGTGCTCAAACATTGTGTGCATGTACCTTGAGGCAAAGGGCTCATCTGGCTGGGTTTCTCCCCTCAAATTTCTGAAGCTTCTAGAAACTGGTTCATGATTATGAAGTTATTTTAAAGTAGTTCTTTTTGGGGGAAAGTAAAACCTTATACTCTTAGCTAAGTCATAACTTACTTCCATTACATAGTACACAAACAAATATATGTCCCTAGGCAGCTTTCCATGTTGAATGAGTGAGTGTGTGTGTTGTACGGAACCAGACCTGGAAAGCCAGGAAGCAATTACTAAGGAAGCATTTTCTGAGCACACACTTAATTGCACTTAATCAGAGGTGAAGGCAACTGCATGGAAATAAGTTTTGCTTTATTGAACCACAAGATACTACCTAAGTAAAATAGGATTTTTGTGTTCCTCAACTTCCTTTTCTAGCATCAGAGTTCAGTGCATCTGATTTCTTTCACATTCAATACGTCACCACGTGTCTTAAAGCTTGATACCTGGTCACTGGGGGTGGTGGGCAGAGATCCAAACTCTTTAATGTACTTATCTGTTTCTTTGGCAAGTTGGTTAGTATACTGCTGCTTCTGCTGCCTAAAGAGAGAAAACACACATTACAGTCAAACAACTGATAATTTTCTTTATGCTACAACTTTGTCATGTGCACCTCCCTGATGAACAGCCTCAGAAAAATTACTTTTTAGTTTTAAAGTATAAACCATAAAACTGCTTATATTATAAACTGGCTCTAAATTTCCTGTATCAAAACCTGATTTTCATACGCTATTTTTTTTTTTTTTTTGGTACCCGGGGATTGAACTTGGGTCCTTGCGCTTGCAAGGCAGGCGGCAGAGCCACTGAGCTAAATCCCCGGCCCTTCATATGCTATTTTTGATAAATATTATATAAAAAATTTTTCATTCAGACAGGGTAAATAAGCTTATAAATATATCAGTAGCCATCCAGAAAAGAGGATAACTGAAGTCAGTAGGGGATTTAATTGAGAGATGTTGGCTGTCTGGACTTTGAAGTCTGAGATACTGGAGATGTGGGGGCCTTTTATCTGTGTCCCACACTGAGGAGGTCAGTTGAGCAAGTAAGCTTTGTTGTCTTCCACTTGGCCCAGTTCCTCGGTCTTGGGCACATATGTCTTATTTCTTTATACGGACATTTATATCTTATGCATACTTTAAAACACAGAAGAAGTAATCATAGTACAAACTTACCATTATTTAAGCATGAGGCAGAAAAAATTAATAGCATTTCCTTGTAAGGGGATGTAAATTACATCCATACCTACATCTTATTAATATAAAAAGCAAACAATATTTTTAACTTAAAAAATCTAATGCTGAAAAAAGTAAGCTTGCATCAAGCTGATGCTTTATAAATTACAACAGTGCCTCTCATGTATATCAGCTCTCTCGTTTTAATCATGTACTGGCCACACTAAAGAGATACTATACAAGAACATGCTTAAGTATCTCTATGGAACTACTAACAAAGACATATAAGCTATTTATACCTTTATTTACCAAACATCTTATCTTTGATGTACTTATTTAAATCTTTGGAAATGGTACTACAGTCAAAGTTCTAAAGGAGACCATAAAGTTCATGAATTGCTATTATATATTTCTTCTTTGCAATTTTCCTTCAATATACAGAAAAGTATAGTTACTGTTTTAACAGCATATTGATTTACTAGAATATGTACTGTACCATTTCATTATACCTGTTTTTTAACAAAAGCTAATGCTTTTTGAAATTCAAAGATGTGGGATTTAGGAGGATAGTTTATAGAGCTGGATACAGACCTAAACCTAATAAAAATCTGATACTGAAGAGAAGCATGAGTCCAATTTTTAAAAAGCTGTAAAACAACCAATTTAAAAAGCACAAGAAAGGCCAACTCAAGAAGTTTGTTTTGATAGAGTAAGCTAAAAACATCTGCTTACTTTGGGCAGGGTAAAAACTACATAAACACATGGTACAAATGTCTAGATGAGGTAGTTTAAAAATCTTACTAATTTTCCATTGTTTTCTCTACTAAGCACATACTACTACTAAAGCACCATAACAGTAACTTTTCTTTTTGTTGTTGTTAAGTACTTACAGCTGTTGCCTCAATTCAGGTGAATCCTGCGGTGTTCCAAGTTGATTCAGTGTCCTTTGTATTTCCACAGCTATAATAATAGAAATTAATGTGTAATTTTTACAAATGTTAGGGCTGTAGAGATAATTAAGTTAGAAACAACTAGGTAATTAGGCAGTTAAAAAAGAAAAACAAAGGGATAAGGATAAACAACACTAATTGAAAAAAACAAATGGTTTATTTAAATCTAGTAAAAAAATGGGTTATCAAAAAAATTATGTGAAACACTGTCATCTTCCTTATTTCATCAGGGTAGCAAATAAAAATAATGGCATAAAGAATTTTACCTAACTCTATTGCCATAAAATTTGAGAGGACATTAAGACAAATTATATATTTCATTATAATATAAAGTGAAACATTTCTAGTTAGTATATGTGGAAAATTTTAAAAATCATTTTCAATTATCTACAAAATAGTTGATCATTGAAAGCAAGATCATTAAAGGATGCTAAAACCAGAGACCATTCACATAACTTCAAATTATTACCACACAGATGACATTTAGGAGATGACTATATCACAGATGTATCTGTTGTTTAAAAAATGATCAAATTTAGCACTAACAATGAGACAAACTAATATGAATCTTCTCATAGGATGGGACGAGAAAAGTCATAATAGGGCTTATGTATTTTTTCCTTATTTAAATGTTTGGCCTGAATTAATTATGAGGAAAAGAAATCAGACTAATCTAGACCGGAATAATCTACAAGATAACCGGCCTGAACTTTTAAAAATACCAATATCACAAAAGAAAAAAAAATTCAACAAAGAGGGAGTGCTTCATTTTTCACTTTTTGTATTACTGAAGATCTAACTCAGGGTCTCGAGCATGCTAGGCAAGGGTTCCACCACTAAGACACAAGCCCAGCTCCAGGGCAGCTTTGCAAATTAAAGAACTGAAGCACTCAAAATGTTAAAACATCCAAAAGGTCCAGTGTGATTTTTTTTTTGTACTAGAGTCTGAATTTGGAAAAAGTATAAAATATGTTGGGGACAACTAGAGAAATGTGAATATATAAAAAAATGTATTAAACAAAAGTTGAAAAATGTCTGTAATTGTTGTACCCAGTGGGGTCACTGTACTATGTAATTTTACTTTTGTGTAGATTTCGAATATTTAAAGAATTTAAATCAAGAGTTCTCAATTCACGTTAAACTCGAAATCCAGCTGTCTATGTCCACTGCAGTGGACCCAAAGGAAGGCCTATAGTTTTACGCATGTATGGACATAAAATGCCAAGTAGAAATAAGAATGTAACCCATCTCAAAGAACTTGCACATTTCCAAGAACTAAAGAAGAGTATTCTCTTTATTTAGCTCAGTGGTGCCGGTGCCTGCCTCACAAGCACAGATCCCAAGTTCAATCCCCAGTACCAAAAAAACCCCCAGGTTTATTTATGTATCTTAAATGCCTTTTAGGTAGTCATTATTTATGGAATCAAGAGAATGATAAAATATTCCAAACCACAAGACCACTTTTGTCCACTGAGGATGAAGTAATAAACACTGCTTTTAAGTGAAAGCTAAAAAATACAAATACTGAAGAATCATACTGAAACAGTTAGTTTTGAAAAAATTTCTTCTTGCTGTTTTGAGGGTCAATTTTGCTTCTGTAGGATGGAGAGATTTTGTTTGTTGTTTTTTGGGGTTTTTTTTGCTATTGGGGATTGAACTCAGGTCCTTGCGCTTGTGCAGCAGGCAGCGAAACCACTAATCCCTGGCCCTGTTTGTTGCTTTTAATGATGGCTGTTCACAATTAGTTAAAAATTTTCTTTTTCAATCTCAATAGATTTCCCTGGACTGCCTTACAGAGGCTTAAAGCTTTTTTTTTTTTAAGAGAGCATGTTGATAATATGAAACATAGTGTGGCCCTCTGTAGAATAAAGGCAGGTGTTTATTTCAACTCTAAAGGATTTTTTTTTAAAGAAAGCCACATTATATGATGAAAACAGATTAATAAATGACAAGGAAAGCTGACTAGCCAGGGATGTAGCTCAGTGGCACAGAGCCTGCCTGGCAAGCTTTAGGTCCTGAGTTCAATTACTGGTACCAAAAAAAAAACCAGAAAAAAAAACTGACTAAACATTTTTGGGGAAAAACAGAACCCTACCTCACATCATATAGCAAAATAAATTTGTAGTAAATTATTTATTTAAATATTAAAATTGAGGATTACTAATGGTGGAATACAGACTGATAGCAAAACTCGCTCTCTGGGAAGTGAAAGGAACAGACCTGGAAAACAAGTCAGCAAACAGCAAAAGGAGAGCTCCGGGAATCAAGAAAGAACTGACAGGAAATCTAGAAACCATAAGAAACTACAAAAATGGAAGACAAAGATGACCACTACATACTGGAAAAGGGAATGAATGATTCAACAGGAAGAGCTAAGAATTGTAAAAATCTATGCACTGGATATTGGTACACACAACCTCATGAAACAAAATCTACTAGACTTAAGACAGATACCAAAACAATCAGGGTGGGGAAATTCAAAACCCTTCTTTTACCATTAGGTCAATGAGACAAAAAGTCAACAAAGAAATATTAAAGTTAAATCATATCCTTGAACAAATGAACTTAACAGATATCTACAGAATGTTTCTCCTCCAACAGCAAAGGAATATACATTTTTCTCAATAGCACAAGGAACTTTTTTCAAAATAGACCATGTGTTAGGTAGTTGAATAAAGATAGAAATCAATAGCAAAAGAAGCCACAGAAACTATGCAAATACACAGAGATTTAAACAATACATTATTGAATAATCAATGGATTCCTGATTCAGAAGAAACCAAAGAAGAAAAGTTCCTAGAATCAAATGATAATGGAAGCACAATATACCAATACCTATGGGATACAATGAAAGCAGTTCTAAGAGGGAAGGTTGTAGCTGTAAATGCACAGATAAAAAGGATAGATCAATCTCAAATAAATAACCTACTGATGTATTTCCAGGTCCTAGACAGACAAAAACAATGCAAATCTGAAACTAATACAGGAAAGGAAATTATACAGATTAGAGAATGAAATTCAGACTAAAAGAAAACAATACAAAGGATCAATGAATTACAGAGTTGGTTCTCTGAACCAACTGAAGGATGGGAAGGGAATCTGTGGATGAGGGAAGATGGGAGGGCGGTAGAGAAGGGTAACTAAAAAAGGATCAAGATGCACTGTGTATGTATACAAATTCCCCCAAAATGAATGTGTATCACAAATATATACTAATAAAAAATGAGAAAAACTTGAAAACAAATGACTACATGGAAATATAAACACATACTTTATTATGTGATCTAATAT